CCTTGCTGATGTTGCTGTAGAAGGGGTGGTCCGACTCCATGGGCGGCGGTGGGATGTCATAGGAACGCCTCCAGATCTTGACCTGGGCCTCGCCGTGCTTGGCGGCGGTTTCTGCCTTATTGAGGCCAGTCAGCCCCCCATAGTGCCGCTCGTTGAGGCGCCAGGTCCTCACTACGGGCAGCCACATCTGGTCGATGGCATCCAGCACCGTCCAGAGGGTCCGGATGGCTCTCTTCTGCACGGAGGTGAAGCAGATGTCAAACTCGTAGCCCGCATCTGCAAATGACAAGTGCAAGGGGAGGGGTGAAAGCTAATGAGGCTGACCCTGAACCGAGCTCTCTCACCATAAGTCTCCTGTACAGGTAGTCCAAATGAAGGTGGCGTGGCCACGTATTTTGTTTTGGGTACTCTGGGGGGAAATACAATATTCTGCTTTGCGGAAAGACAGGATGTACTGGCTTAGGTTATAGTTGAAAACATGCCTCCCCCTGGCCCCCAGTGAGCCACCTAACCCGGTGTTACTGCATCGTCAGCCAGCAGGCCAGCGATCTGAGCCCCATGTCCTAATACTGAGGGTGCTGTGCCCAAGGAAACTTTTAAGAATTTGCTTCTGCTTGAATTTTTCCAAATGACTAAAGCCTCCTAAAAACAGTAATAGCTAACATCCTAGCCACATCTGGTCGATGGCATCCAGCACCATCCAGAGGGTCCGGATGGCTCTCTTCTGCACGGAGGTGAAGCAGATGTCAAACTCGTAGCTCGCATCTGCAAATGGCAGGGAAAAGGACCATGCACAGCATTTTGCTTAGAACTGTCATTGCCGATAGGCAACTGCTCCCATCCTGCAGCCTGGCCTCTGAGGACCCCTTCTAGCCCTAGTCCCTTATGTGGTGCATGGTTAATTCTGGACTCTCTGCCTGTGGCAGGAGTTCTCTGCTCTGCTAAGGGGCAGGATGAAGGTGGGATTACACCCTGACCAGAGTAGAGGCTGTGAACCAAGTCTCACCCTGTTTCCTTGAGGGTCTAAACTCTGCCATGCACTCACAGCAACCCTAGACGACAGGGTAGAACTGCCCCTGTGAGTTCCCGAGACTATGGAACTCTTTACAGAAGTAGAAAGCCCTGTCTTTCTCCCAAGGAGCGCCTGGAGGTTTCGAACTGCGGACCTTGCAGTTAGCAGCCCAACTCGTAACCACTGCGCCACTTGTTTCTTGGGGGTACGGTCAGCTGAAAGACAAAAACCACGCCTCCGAAGCCATCCCTGTGTCTAAGAGCCATCTCGGGCTCAGAGAGACGTGCCGGAACCACAGGAAGAACAGCCAGCAAGGTAGCGCTTGCGATCTCTGTCTGCAGTGGCAGAGGTCAAGACCAAGCAGCAGGCACTGTGGCACAGAAACTGGGGGCAGAACAAAGGAGCCAGGCCGAGACCAGAGGCGAAGGTGAGGGAACCATGACACAGGACAGAGGGGCACTGCTGAGACAACGGGCTGTGAGGCCGAGTGACAGGCGGGCTTCTTGGTCCACAGAGACCAAGGGTCCAGGTGGCTAAGAGGCTGAGACCTTGGCTGCTGGCTGGGAGAGATGTGGTGGCCCCATGATGGTGTCCTTGCTATTGACTGATTCAGACTTCTAAGAACCTGCTGTGTGTGGAAAGGTGAGCGGCTGGTCTGACCTCTGTCTGTGGCTACAGGAAAGCCAGAGGCGGTCAGATAAGGCTCTTCCCACATGCTGTTTCCGAAAACCTCACAAACGCTTAATCTCGGGGAGTTCCTCCAAGTGCTAGACCCTCAAGAGGGCGTGTAGCTTACAAAATATCAACCATGAGTAAGGTGCTCCCTGAATCAACTCCGTGAGAAGAAAGTCAATATTTAGCCGAAAGGCACAACCAGAAGGCAAGAAGGGGAGAAAAGCTGGATCTATGTCAATAAATCAAACCCACTGGGAATAAGGAGAGCGCAGACACATGTGAACATTGTAACCCATGCCACAGGGCAAGGGGGGCGGGGGGTACAGGGAAATGCTTGCATGGGAACCTGATTTGCTGCATAGACTTTCACCTGAATAACCAAATATACCTACCTCAGGTCAATTGTTGAACCAAAGTTTAAAGAAGCTATCCGTTAGGGAAAGAACACATGTTGTGCACTACAACTGCCCGCTTCATTTATAAATGAATCTCTAAACACACACACCACACACACGACTCTGACCAAAAGGTTACAATTAGCCACTTTATTTCATGTGTCAATGAAAAGACTTCTTCCTCCCTAAAAGCCTTTAATGGGGAGATGGCCCTTGCTCATGTAGTGGGGCCAGGGAAACCCTGGTCTTCCTGCATGAGGCAACCATGCCCTCTTCAAAACCCAGTCAGCTCAGACAGACCCTCCTAGTATTGCCTCAGACTGAGGTTGGCAACAGTCACAGGGTGTGAAGTGACTCTTCCTGCTGCTAGTCATTGGGGCCAGGAAGACAAGAATGCTGGTTACTTGTGGGGAGAACCCCAGCACCACCCACCCAGGAGCCAGGCCCATCCCTGAGCCTCAGGGCAAGTCTCACCAGACTCCACTTCCTTCTCCTCCCAAACGGGAAGGGGCAGCGGAATGGCTCCCCAACAAACGGCTGAGTCACTGCACTGGGAAGAGCCACAGCTTCAGGCTCCCAGGCTGAGCCGCCAGTGTGGCTTCACTGCATTTATTCCCACATGCAATGGTGCTTCTTCACTTGGGGTAAACTAACAGGTCCCCGGGGGAAAGCAGATCCCTCCGGACTCCTCTAACAGGGCTCTGAAGGGCTAGTGGCATTCAGTCTCTGCATTTCACTTGCCCAGGAAACCAAAGGGTAGCTGAGGAACCCTCCTGGGGCAGGAATGGGGGGGGGGGGTACCTCCATCACCCCCCAGAAGACACCCCTTACTCAGCAGAAAGGACTGGATGGAAACAGAGCTCCCATTGGCTTCCTCCCAAAATCCTATGCCAGGTTTTACAAACCCTACTGTCAGGAAAGCACTTTAGTGATAAAAGGATTTCACACGGATTCATTTATTGTGACCTTTTATGTTACACAGTAACTAGGCTCATAATGGGTTTCACCATTCAGAGCTTTTGCCTTTCTTTTGAACGTAGTGTGCACTACCTGTGATAGATACTAATGTTTCTAGTCAGCTTTCATCTTGTTTATAAAGTAATGCCAAAAACATTAACTGTAAAACTGAAATGAGGCCTGTTTTGTTTTTTTAAATAAATCATTTTATGGGGGGCTCCTACAGCTCCTATAACCATACATCCATTGTGTTGAACACGTGTGTACATATGTTGCCATCTTAATTTTCAAAACATTTTCTTTCCACTTGAGCCCTTGGCATCAGTTCTTTTCTCCCTCCCTCCCCACCCTTGTGACCCCTTGATAAATTATAAATTATTATTTTCTTATCTTACACCATCCCCTGTCTCCCTTCACCCTTCTGCTGTTCATCCCCTGGCCTGTTATTTTGTAGAGATTTTAAGTTTAGTCATTTAGTAAATTTGGAAAATAGGACAATTTGCCTCATCCGTCTTGCCCGAGCTCATTCATCATCACCAAACCTTCCACAAGCCCATTCAGCTCTTCCTGGCACAAGGGGAAGGCGAATGGCCTCCTTAACCAGCCAGTTGCCCCCTCTCCAGGCCTCCTCATGGGCCCAAGAGGACAGTGGGCATTCAAGTGCTCCCAGCAGGAGGGCAGCTCCCAGCCTTTCCCAAGCTTGGCTTCCTTTCAGAAGGAACTACAGTGAAGGTAAGAAGGCTGGGAGATGAATGGGTCCCAAAGAGCCAAATCCCCATGCAGCCTTGAAAGACCCTCTTAAATGGCTGTTGGGGGTGATTGGAAGGGAGCAGGGCGGGGCCTGGCCTAATCAAAGCAGCGCAGGGATTCTCTGGGCAGCAGGGAGCTGCCAAAATCACAGGCCGTTATCTGCCCCAGGGGGCAAGGCTGGGCAGGCAAGGGTTTCTCCCTGCCACCCCCACCTTTGCCCAGTGCCCTTGGCTAACAGCGTGATGTTCCTCACACCTACCTGTTACTCAACTCCAGGCTTGGCTCAAGGGCACTGGACTAGTTATAAGGAGCTGTGACCTGGGACAAGTCGCCTTTCCAACTCACTTTATTCAACCATATAAAGAGGAGAGAAGATGGAATAAGCCTGTCCACGGGGTGATGTGAAAATAGGCCCGGTGGCACTGCGATGGGTTAAGTGATTCAAATCACTCATTCATTCATTCTGTGGATGCAATTTGGACACCAGGCGGTCCTCTACAAGCACGTGGCTTGCCGGCTAGCAAAGGACTGCAGCCGGCATCCGCTCCTCGAGGCGGCCACGATCGATCGACTCGATGGCCTCTGGCCCAGGAGGGGCTCCAACTGAGGCAGCCCGTCCCCCCATTCTCCAGAAGAGAATGGAGAATTTCACAGGAACTGCCTGGGAACGCGCTGAGGGCTGGGGGTGGCCGCCCTGGGTCCTGATCTTGGCGAGGTGGCCACCGCTCCACTGGGTGACCTTGAGGAAGTCGATTCCCCACACCCGGCCCCTTTCCTCAAGTGCAAACTAAACCGCGGCGGGTACTGATGCCCAGGGTCTCGCCTCTCCGGGAGAAGCGCGATCGCGAGCAGCGCGGCCCTGGCCCAGCGCCCGGCCGCCCTCCAAGCCCGAGACCCCGGGCCTTCCTTCGCCCGGCCCCCGCCGCGCCGTACCTCGCAGCGCCTGCCCGCCGCGCTTCGCCTCCTCGTGCCCCGCCGGGCTCAGGTCGGCGTCGTCGTACCAGCCGCTGAAGCGGTTCTCCAGGTTCCAGGCGCTCTCGCCGTGGCGGATCAGCACTAGCTGGTAGGCGGCCATGGCTGCAGGCTCGGGACACGGCGAAGACTGGGGTTCACCGAGATTCCGGAGTC